AATCTCATAAGTCTTACCACTACCTTCTGGCTTACTCCTGGGAGAGGAGGCTGGAAGTGATGTCCTCGTGGTTCTATACACGGGGTTTCCACTATATCTTGCTACGAAACAAAATAAGAAAAATGTAGTCAATGAAAGCAATTTAAACATCAGTTGGGGGTGCACTCAAGAAATGGGGCGGGTCAAGCGGATGAATTATTCCTCTGAGGGACATGCATGTACCGTAGCTGGGGTGATGACGCGAAAGCCGAACCTAGGTCCCAGTCTATCGTAAAGAAAGCAACAAGAATTGAATGCCTAGGATCCGAAGAACGCGCAAGCGTGAAGGATTTACTGCCCGCAAAGGGTTTACAGAAGTCAGTGCCTGCTGACCGTTCGCTGTATGAAGACTCTAATCTCGTATTAGACAAACATATGGTTTCTGTAGATTCAGCCATGGGCTACAGCCGCAAGGCAAATAAGGACAAAACAGGTGTCAGTGGAAGCGAAGCAACAACGGCCTCTAAGGCGATCTCGGCAGGATCAACCCAAGCTATGAGGCCCGCTAAGACGAAACTGACTTACCTGGGGGAGACTGACCCGGGGAACAGACCGAAAACGTGTAAGATGGAATGGGCGAAATTAATTGTGTACAACGTCCCAGAACTTCCTAGGGACGCCATTAGGAAAGCAGTCGCAAGACATACTTCCCTGATGGAGCAATTTATTTCCGTAACAGCACGAAGGCAACGAGATGGTGTCAGAAGATTTGACGTAATACCATTAACCCGTGCGCGTCCAACTTTGGAAGATTTACCAAGGTTGGAAGAATCACTGCGAGCGAGAGTGATAGTGGACAGACCATTCGCCGTGCGAAATGAAGCTAAAAGAAGGGCGGCTGCCAGAGGAATTATTCCTCAAAAGGCACCACAAAAGAAGACCATCAATGATGGAAGCAACATTTCGCTACTCACTCTGAATGTCAACGGACTGAGGAGTAAACTTCCAGAAGTATCCCTTCTATTAACCAAGAAATGCCCAACAATCGTGTTCCTACAGGAGACTCTTGTAAAAGAGTCAGCCCATAGGACATGGTTACCGAGCTATCAGGTAATAGAGACGAGGGATATGAAGGAACGAGGAAACCGGGGATTGGTTCTTGCAGTAAGGCGAGGCTTAGGCCTTACCCTAACGCACTATGCGCAACATGAGTGGTTCCTAGCGGGTTGTATCGAAGGAATGTCTGAGCTGCATAAGACGCCTATTAGAATGTTAGCGATCTCAGTGTATATACCATGCACAGGAGAACCTAGCAATGTTGGGGTCCGCCAAAAGAAAAAAAAAAGGAGAAGTTGAAAGCTGCGAGATTGGAGTCGATTTATCGACTTCTGGAGTACAAGAAAGTGCTAAAGCATTAGTATTGGAAGGAATTAAACCAGTTAGTGAAGTTTGTAGCTACCGCAGGGTTACAATTCACGATGATCAAGAATTGAATGATTCTTGGTCTAAAAATGTCAGCTTGTTCGAGAGAATAAGTAAAGAGGATGGCAGTATTGCCGAGAACATGTACTTTAAGAGAGCCAGGTTGATGGAAAGTCTGGTCTCTTACTGTAAGAGTTCACATAATGTGACAAGTATTCATCAGGAGTACTTAGACATCATTTATGATGAGCTCAGTAAACAGAAATTCAAGCTCAAATGCTTGAAAGAAAAGCATGAGAAGGAGTTATCTCTTATGAGAAACAATTTCGAGACCCAACTGGAAGCTTTAAAAGCCTCCAACAAAGGACTTCTGCAAAGAATCGAGAGGATCAGTGCAGAGAAAAAAGGAGATTGTGTTGAACCAATCAAAACAAAGAATGATCAAGAAATTGATCAAAAGAAAAGAAAGGAGAAGATTGGCGGCTTCTCTGGTGCTCTGGAACCAGAGCTAGAAAAGATTACTGGGAAAAGGATTCCATCATCCAATTCCTTCCATGTGTTTTTGCGGCAGGTTACTTCTGCTGTAAAGGGAAACAGAAAATTGTTAAAGAAGAACATTCTTTTAACAGAAAAGACAGAGAATGGCTGGACGGTCACTCTCAAAAACTGGAATAAGAAGTCGACCAAGGCTTCTAAAAATGATCGGGTGGTTAAACCACAAATAAAAGAACAGACCAATAGGTACTCCCCATTCCTGATTGGTGTAGAAAAGGATGTGATCAAACATGAAACTTGTGTAACCAAGGTTCAAAAGGTCACAAAACAGAAGTCAGTTAAGACTCTTGAGAAAAAGTGTGTGGTTAAACCACAAAGAAAGGAAAGAACCAATAGGCAGCCTAGAGCCCCAGTTGGTTCAAGAACTGATGTGATCAAGCCTGAAACTTGTATCACAAATAAGAAAATTGATAGGTCTCTATCAAATATAAAAGAAAATGCCAAGCCAAGATTAATGGCAAAGCAGAAAAAGAAAGGTGAAAAAGCACCTGAAAGGAAGCAGTGCCCTTCTCCTGGTAAGAAGGAAGCAAAGAAGAGGTCTAATTGGGCTGCCCAATTAACAAAAGATGAGCTACTAAGAATAGCTCTGGAAGGAAAGAAGCCCAAGGACTGCAAGTACAAGCTTGTAGTTGCTTATGGCCTTCCCGTGGTTGACCACATCAACAGGGAAGTTTGGGCTCGGTTACTGGGTGTGGAGGAGAAGTTTATTCCTCTGATAAAAGATATAAAAGATGCAGGGAGAATATTCCTTGTAAGAGACGAGTGCTGTATCCCCGTGGTACAAGCTCTGCATAAGGTCTCGGGAAATGTAAGGATATTGATGTCAGCTGATGGTGTTGCTGACTATATCTCTAAGAATAGAAGTACTTTGGTGAAGATAATCTCCGATCTTCGCCCACAATGGAGTAAGTACGTGCCTGTAGATAAGGCAATAAAGGTAATAAAAAAAGGGCTGAATGAAAATTCTAAAGTCAGCCAGAAAGAGTTTTTCTTTGATGAGGTTTCGTATGAGGATCTTAGAGGGAATCTAAAAGGCGATAATCTATCTCTAAATGAATAGTGGTCGGGAGATTATCAATAAAAGTAGTTTATTAAATAATTTTTATTTTAATAAAAGACAAGTCATTAAGCTTCTCAGAAGTAACAAAAGTTATAGTGCTATAAGTACTGCTAAAAGACTTTCTACCTGTAGAAACAAAAGGAAGAGGAGCCAAAGGAGAGTTACATCTCTATCTTGGTTCTTTCTAAAAGTTAGAATGCTTAGGAGTAGTATTCAAAAGAAGTGGTCTTTAATAAAAGTAATGGCCAATCACTTGAAAGGAGTAGAACTCCGAGAACAGCTTGCTAGGGAGTCTCCAGAACTGGTAGACTCTTTAGTATATACAAGAAAGCATCGTAGAAAAGATGCTGGTTTCACTTTCTGTGTAATAAGAAAGTCGAAAAAAGAAGAATTTCTTGAAACCATGAATACCCTTGGCTTAGAGACACTAAAAGATAATCCCACTGTTGACAGGGGAGGATTAAGGAAAGGATGTAAGATTATGAAGCAGGCAAAACTTTGTAGTCTTAACATCAACCATCTCTATGGAAAGAAGGAAGATTTAGAAATTCTTCTAAAAGTAGAGAAGCCAACAGTTTTGTGCTTGCAAGAAACCTGGAAGAAGACTTCAGGACTTACAAAGCTAGAAAAGTACATGGTTGTAGAGACACCAGCCATAGGAAAGAACAGGCCAGGGTTAATGACATTGGTTAGAAAAGGCGGAGCTGTAAGATGCACCAAAAAAGGTAATGATGACAACATACTGCAAGCAGTAGTTGAATTCAAGACTAGTACAGGATGGACCAAGATACTCGTTATCAACGTCTATGTACCACAGGACAGAGAGTTAAAACCATTAATTCTCAGTAAACTGATTAATCTTCTTAATGTTGAGAAGGATAAAAGATGCTACAAGGAGATTGTAGTCATGGGGGATATGAATACCAAGGATTCATCCCTTAAGAAGAAGCTCGTTGGTGGAGGATTAAACCCTCTACTCAACTACAACAGAATGTCAGGAACTAGAATCCTGAGCAACGGTAAAGTATCTGGAAGGCGTATAGATACGATCTTCAGAGTACTGAAACAAGATAGTGAGAAAATCAAGATCTCACAAAGATGGTCCTGAGAATCATCTACTACTTAAGGGAACTATTACTCTTCCTTCTCCAGTAGTAGAAAGTTCATTTGCTTATAATAGAGACAAGATGGAAAACTTCCTCGTAGAAGAGAGATTGAGCAATCTTTTGGATAGTAAAATATTCACAATAGAAGAACTTCGTGGCTGCTGGAACAACAAGGGGTACATCTATTGTGTTAAGTTTTGGTAAATCATTGCCAATAGCAGAAGCCGTGACTCTTCGGAGAATCTGGATCGACTTGGACAGACGGGTGTCGTCAAAGAGTATTCTCCCACCTCTTCGTTTAAGACAAATGTGTCTAAACCTGGGAAGGGTCTGGCTTAAAGCTGCATATTATGCCGCAGCATCCTGCTGGACTTCGTTGTGTTCTTAAATGGTGTATCGAGCCAGGCATTAAACCTCAAATTCTGCTGAGCGCAGGTCCTAATCTTTAGAACTAATGGATTTTAATAAACCCTACGGGGTTCCCCATCTTCCTACAAGCAAGGCCTTGGTGGTATGCTGGTGTGTGTCACTGATTATTTGATCTTAAGTTTTGGTGCCGTAGAAGCTTTGGATCACGTCGGTTATACACCCCGATGGGGTGTATAACCGACCTGGTATTTTTTTTTATTTTTTAACCCGTAATGGCAGAAGGAAGAGAGCATCTAAATAGGATTTTAATCGCTGATCTTCGAGCTTATTTCTATGACTTTTAGATGGAGAATTCACATATGCAGCAATCTTGCCTTCATTGTGAGCAATTTATGAAATTAAAAAGATCAAAAAAAAGTTGATAAATTTGAATGGAGACGACTTAAGTATCAGAAAACACCCAGTTTAATATATAATACGAGTCTAGCAAATTTTAAAACCAAATTACACGTTATTTGGGTTGTAATTTGTTATCTATCTATTGGATTACAAAACTGTAAAATATTGCTTTTAACTAATATATCAAAAGATACTTTAATAAATATCTGAAGAATTTTTTATAGCAAAATAGGGCAGCATTGTTTAGATAATTCTATTAAATTAGGAGGCCCCGATGTCGTAGTACAAGTAGATAAAACAAAGATTAATTATAATGTAAAAAATCATAGGGGCAGGCCTGTTCCGCCCTGTTGGGTATTCTACATTGTTGATACGTCAAATCGCCCGGCGTTGGGGTTTTGCTGCATTGTTTCTGATCGTTCTTCCAATACTTTAATTGATATAATTTCTAATGTAGTGGTACAAGGTAGTATTATTTGCTCAGATGAATGAGCTTCTTATGTATTATTGGGTAGGAATCAAGATTTGAGCATAGAACCGTTTGCCATAAATATAATTTAATCAATCCGGCAGATGGAACCATACACGATATGTAAAGTCATATAATAATTGATTAAAGTTGGGTATAAAGCGAAGAAGAATCTCACGTTGGAGCAGAGAAAATTATTTTTGCTAGAATTTATGTTTAAAGAATGTCTTTCGTCAGATAAATTTATGCCTTACATTAAATTATTTAAGTGTTAATCTTTTTTTTTACGGGGTGTATAACCGACCCGATCCGAAGCCTTCTTATATAATAATAAACTTATTTTATTCTTATTTAGTTTTTCAAAAAATCTGTGATAAATAAGGAGAGAGTATTAAATGAGCTTCTAATTATTATAAGAGTTACTAAGATGAGAGTACAGGTAGATTCGATTAAAGTAATTTTTTAATATTTTCAAAAATTTGTTTTTTTTTAAGGCAAGCTATATCGGTAAATGGCCGGAAAGCCTTAGTACTTTGGTTAGTTCCTTTGACTATGGCTACAAAACTATATGTCATAAATATAATTTTGTAGATCAAATGGTGGTGTACACACATAGAACGTCGAAACATACAACAATAAATTAAAAATCAAATAAAAGCAAAAAAGGATTAAAACTAGAGCAAAAAAAATTTTGTTAGAATTTATGTTTAGAGAACGCCGTGTCACCGACTCATTTATGTTTTTTATTAACTTATTAGAATGTTTTTTTAATTTTTTTTACGTGGGCGCCGGGACCCTGATCCAAATAGCCTAAGAAAAGGCCCGTAAAAGTTTTTGAAATTTTCATCAACTCCAAAATGAAACGGGAAAAGAGGAATTTGGAAAAGTTTTTTCTGTAGACAATTTGACAAAAAATTCAGATTAAAATCTAGAAACAAAAATTCTATATGTTGGATTTACATTGATAGTAATTGTAAATTGTCGTACCATCAAGTATCGATTTTGCATTTAACGTTGTTTTATCTGTCCCCAGAAGCATTCACAACCACAAAGCAACTGCGATGCTGAAGCCGGGCGTAGTTTGTAAATACAATAAAAAACAATAAGTTGTAACGGTGGTTCCAGAAAGGTTATTTATTCCGTTATACGAGGATGTAATATTATGGCACTTACAATTATTGTGGGGGTTGGGTGTATATTTAGGTTGTTAAGATACCACAGGCAGAACACCATAATTCCTTTAATATATCCAAATCACACCCCCAAAACTTAGTTCACTACTACTTAATACACATATCAGCCTGCCATTTTTCCAGTGTGGGCCGGAAAATTATAAAGATTTTGTTAAAAACGACGATGTTTTAATTTTTTATTCTATCTACACCACTAATAATTATAAGCAAAACGATGTATATGCAGCAAACGGGACGTTTTTGACGGAGCCAACATCCTGCTTACATTTATATACCGTGTCCTGTGTTCGTTATTATAATGTATTTCCTGCGATGTTTGCAGTATTGAAAAATAAGAATTTTTAAACCTACACAATCCTGTTTACTTTGTTAATAGACATTTTGGTCCCTGTGGTAAAATTCCAAAATTTAAAAATTTTTATCTTTATAAATTTTCTAGAATTTTATTTTCTATAAATAAAAATTTTAGAAAGAAGGTTACACAAAAAATTTGGCCAAAGAAACTTTTAAAGGCCTCCTTTTGAGGGTGTTTATTTTTTTTAACCCCCAATTTTCATGAACACAATGAAGAGAAAAAATCAGAAAACAATTCGGATTTCCACCAAATTTAAATAATTTTCTGATTTTTTCTCTTCATTGTGTTCATGAAAATTAGGGGTTAAAAAAAAAAAAATTTCAAATATTTAATAATATCTAATAAAAGTTCGGTTAAAGAGACCATATAACTGACGCATTTGAGGGTCTTTAATTTTTTTTAACCCCTATTTTTTTAATGCAAAATAAAAGAAAAAAATATAACAAATAGAAATAATTAAGTAATTTTTTATTTATAAGTATAATAAAAATCTGACTAGCATTCTAAAACTTTGGTCTTTATAGATTCTTTTAAACTTGAACAGATTTAGATAAGGTATTATTTGATTAAAATTTTTATTCCTGTT